GTTTTGCCTTTAGCTCTACTGTAAGCCCCCATTTACACCTAAATGTTTGGTTTTGTGTTCTCCTACACTCACCATCAAGAATTGTATTGGTTTAAAAGAGAATTCCAGCTTTCCTGCCACTTGGCCACCTTGGACCGAACAAATTATTTGCATCATGCCAGAATGGACCGGTCACTGTGCAGGCTGTGATATACAGTGGCTGCTTGTGCTGCGTACAGTAAGCGACGCTTTGTTCCAGGATTCTGCCAGACGCTTCCCTTCTACTCCCAGATGGAGGAAGAGACATCTGTACAGTATCCAAAGAAGCCTAGGAGAAATCAATGGTGGCTAGCTTCGGCCTTGTCTCAATTTGTTTCAGTGTAATGTGCTGGGAGATTTCTTTATAACAGCGTTTCCCAAACTATGACCTGCGGGCCACATCCAACCCACTACAAGATATTAGCTGATCCACAGATTGGTCTCCACTTCTCCCAGCTAACTGCCCCCGAAGTCTCTGGCACAGGTTCCTCCCCTATGCTGCACTGTGTAGCTGGTTGCTAGGACTGCCAACGTTGTAGCAACCAATGGCATGCTTGCCTCAGCATTCACAGGAAACCTGCTCTGCTTCCTGGTTCTCACCCCGCTGCACACAGCTACAGCCATGCTTTAAGCTGAGAGCGGAACTACACAGCATCTGAGCACCACAAACCACAATGTTATTTCATTCATTTTTAATGTTCGAAGCAAACTCCCCCATCCATCTATATCTCCATGCTTTATTTTGAGAAATCACTTGGAAAACCACCTCGTAGCTTTTCTGGATGTGGCCATCTTGAAGAAAGGCAGATAATTCATGTAGCATTTACTTCTTGGATTCCATCTGCCCTTAGCTCAGTCATGCAGGCAGGAGGGTGTGCTTAGCTGAGAAAACCCCTCCTCCCCTCCTGAACACTCCTGGGATGTATGACATCATTTGTCTTGCCCTGGAAACCAGGAATAAACCGAAGAAATGTAATAAAAAAAAGTTTAAAACAACTAAATAATGATATACTTTTCTATCTGTTTACTAATGCTAGCAGCAGAAGGATTACAAATAGTCAATGATGAGTGAGAGAGTGAAGTTCTACTTTAATTACAGTGGTGAGGGGTGACTCTGGTGGGGACCCTGACGTATGGGGGGCTTTGATGGGGACACATGTAAGAGGGGATGGGGACATGGATATCAGGGGGCCTCTGATAGGGACCCAAATGTAAAGGGGACTCAAAAGGGGACACTAATGTAAGGGGGACTCTGATGGGGACACAGATATAAGGGGAACTCTGATAGGGACCCATATGTAAAGGGGGCCTCTGATAGGAACCCACATGTAAAGGGGGCCTCTAATAGGGATCCACATGTAAAGGGGACTCAAATGGGGAAACTATAATGTAAAGGAGACTCTGCTGGGGACACAGATATAAGGGGAACTCTGATAGGGACCCACATGTAAATGGGACTCAAATGGGGACACTATTATTATTATTATTATACAGTATTTATAAAGCGCCAATAGTTCGCGCTCAGCGCTGTACATTACAGAGGGGGACAGAACATGTGACAGAACAATACCAATACAATGCAAAACATGAGGGGATTGAGGGCCCTGCTCTTTCGAGCTTACAATCTAGGAGGGAGGGGATGGTGGCACAGGAGGAGATAGCTGTGGGGGATGGAGTGGTAGGAAGAGTGGAGGAGGTCGGCAAGTTAGCAGGGGGTGGGGTAGGCTTCCCTGAAGAGATGGGTTTTCAGGGTGCGCCTAAAGGAGAGGAGAGTAGGTGATAATCTGATGGGTTGGGGCAGGGAGTTCCAGAGGATGGGTGACACCCTGGAGAAGTTCTGGAGGCGGGCATGGGAGGAGGAGACCAGGGAACTAGAGAGAAGGAGGTCTTGTGAGGAGCGGAGTGTGCGTGCTGGGCGGTACTTGGATATTAGGTCAGTGATGTAGTTCGGGGCAGTATGGTGGACGCTTTGTACGTTAGCGTTAGGATTTTGAATTTGATCCGTTGCGCAATTGGAAGCCAGTGGAGGGATTGGCAGAGGGGGGTGGCGGAAACGGAGCGGTTGGAAAGGTGAATGAGTCTGGCAGCCGTATTCAGGATGGACTGAAGCGGGGATAGCCAGCGGCGAGGCAGGCCAGTGAGGAGGGAGTTGCAGTAGTCGAGTCGTGATATGATGAGGGAGTGGATGAGCTGTTTAGTGGCTTCTGGGGTTAGGAACGTGCGTATTTTGGCGATGTTGCAGAGGTGGAGTCTGCACGAGTTTGTTAAAGATTGGACTTGGGGCTGGAAGGATAGGTTGGAGTCCAAAATGACACCAAGTACTCTGGCCTGCGAGGCGGGTTTGATGGTGGCATTGTTGGACATGATGGAGAAGTCAATGGGGGGTGGTGTCCGGGCTGGAGGGAAGACAAGAAACTCGGTTTTGGAGAGGTTCAGTTTAAGGAAGTGGAGCGACATCCAGTCTGATATGTCGCTCAACAGGTGTGTGATTCGGGCGGAGACCGAGGGGGTGAGGTGGGGGGTTGAGAGATAGATTTGTGTGTCGTCAGCATAGAGGTGGTAGTTGAAGCCGTGAGAGTGTATGAGTTGACCAAGGGAGGAGGTGTAGATGGAGAAGAGAAGGGGCCCGAGGACAGAGCCTTGAGGGACCGCAACAGAGAGGGGGAGTGAGAGGGAGGTGGTAGCATTATAGGTAACACTGAAAGAGCGTTGTGACAGGTAGGATGAGAGCCAGGAGAGAGCAGAATCTCTGAGGCCGAGGGAGTGTAGTTTTTTAAGGAGGAGGGGGTGGTCGACTGTGTCGAAGGCCGCAGAGAGGTCAAGGTAGGAGTACTGAATAGTGGCCATTAGCTTTGGCGGTTAGCAGGTCGTTGGAGAGTTTGAGTAAGGCGGTTTCGGTGGAGTGTAGGGGACGGAAGCCGGACTGTAGGGGATCGAGGAGGTTGTTGTCGTTGAGGTGAGAGCATAGGCGGGCGTAGACTAGGCGCTCGAGGAGTTTTAGATGTAAATGGGAGCAGGGAGATGGGTCTGAGGTTGTTCGGGTCATTGGGGTCCAGGGAGGGCTTTTTAAGTATGGGGGTGATGTGTGCATGTTTCAGAGGGGAAGGGAAAGTGCCGGAGGAGAGGGAGAGATTGAAGATGTGGGTGAGGGAGCGTAGGATGGAGGGGGGGGAGGTCGTAGGAGTTGTGAGGGGATAGGGTCGAGGGGGTAGGTGGTGAGGCGAGCATCAGAGAGGATCTTGGAGACTTCCTCGATGGTAGTAAGGTCAAAGTTGCGGAGTGTTGGGGGAGCTTCAGTATGAGGAATGTAGGGTGGGGTGGGAGTGGAGGTCAGAGCAGTGGTGGGGCCGTGGGAGAGGGGTGAATGAGGGGGTAGCTGAGTGAGGGGGAAGGGGGTTGGAGGGAGTTTGAGCAGCGACGAAGTCCCTGTGGGTTATGTCGAGGGGGAGGGGGGATGAGGGGGTAGCTGTGTGAGAGGGAACGGGTTGAGAAGGCGTGTGAATTGCGGCAATGTCCTTTGCGAATTGTGTCAATCTTGTTTTTGAAGTGATTGGCAATCTGAAGGGCAGTGAGTGAGGTACTGGGTGGAGGTGGGGGTGGCGAGAGTAGAGAGTTGAAGGTGGAGAAGAGTCGGCGAGGATTGGAGGAAAGGGCCTTGATGAGGGTAAGGAAGTAGGCTTGTTTGGCAGTATGGAGGGAGGAGGTGTAGGTGTGGAAGGCAGATTTGTAGCGGGTGAAGGCTTGTTGGGATTTGGTTTTGCGCCATAGTCGCTCCAGGGCACGACTGAGTCGTTTGAGGGTTTTGGTGTGATCAGTCTGCCAGGGCTGGAGCGGTCGGGGTCTGATGTTGCGTGTGGTTAAAGGCGCTAGTGAGTCAAGGGCTGTTGAGAGCGCGTTGTTGTAGGCAGTCATAGCCAAGTCGGGGCAGGACAGGGGGAGGATGCGGTCATGGAGTTGATCAGCTGCAGAGTGGAGGGGGGCAGGGTTAAGGTTGCGGAGGTTACGGCTGGTAGTAGTGTGACATTTGGAGGGGTAGGCGTTGGAGGACGAGGAGATAGAGAAGGTAATCAGGTTGTGGTCAGAGAGAGGGAAGGGGGTGTTAGTGAGGTTGTGGGGGAGCGCAGCGGTTGGAGAAGACAAGATCAAGGATATATTCCGTCGGAGTAGGTGGTGGATTGTATGCACTGTGGAAGTGCAAAGGAGGAGGTTAAGTGGAGGAGACGGGCTGTGTCCGGGTTGTCGAGGTTGACAGGGATGTTGAAATCCCCAAGGATGATAGTGGGTAGCTCAGAGGAGAGGAAGAAGGGTAGCCAGGAGGAGAAGTCTTCCAGGAAGTGGGGTATAGATCCAAGAGGCCGGTATATCACAGCAATCTTCAGGGGGGTTGGGGAGAATAGTCGGACGCAGTGGGCCTCGAAGGAGGAGAAGGATAGGGAGGGGGGGTTTGGGAGGACTCGGAAGGTGCTCAGCGGTGACAGGAGCAGGCCAACCCCACCACCTTTACGACCGTTGGGCCTGGGTGAGTGGGTCCAGGTGAGACCTCCGTAGGAGAGTGCAGCAGGGAAGGTAGAGACACTAATGTAAGGGGGACTCTGATAGAGACATGGATATAAGAGGGACTGTGATAGGGATATTGATATAGGGAGAACTCTGAGGGGAATACTGATCGACAATCCTATGGCAGACTCTGATTTAAGGGGGAGCTCTGTTGGGAACTCTGATTTACGTTCTTTCTCTTTCTGTTCTGAATCATATCATGCTGAATTAAAAAAAGATCCAAGTAAAACATATTCATTAATTTATTATTCATTGGTTTATTAAACTGATTCTTTTTTCCCTATGAATATTTGGCCCTCCTACTGGAAAGTTGAAGAGTCCCCGAATCTACAGTGTCAGTTGGTCTCTGCCAAAATGGTTGCTGAGTTCTGTATAAGTGATGCTTCCTGTTGGTCCTCTAGTGACACTTGCTGTGTCTAAGTATGTGAGTGTATCTGCAGCTGGAGAGACAAGCAATGACAGTGTGCAGTCACTGATCATGCCGAGCAGCAGACAGGATGAGGCTGACCGGACCCTCTGGGTGGGAAACTTGGATTACAAAGTGAAGGAGGAGATCCTGTATGAGCTCTTTCTGCAGGTGATGGCTGGACAATTGCAGAGTAATCAGGCTGGGGGAGGAGGTGGGTTACAGTAGATTTTTTTTGGGTGGGGAAGTTGTTCTACTGTATTGCATTCATTGTGAATGGAAATGTTTAGACATCTCAGAACAACATTTTGTATCTTTTTTTTTTTTAAATAAGGTGTTTGTTATTTTGTAACATGTTTATGTCATCTGCCAAATTGATGTTTAAGTAGCAACTGTTTTTTTACTTTATTGAACTGTATCACTTTATTAATGCTGCTGATTACCAGGTACCCCTTCCCCAACCACCATCACCACAGTGGGTTTTTGTATTACAGGTTTTTATATAGCATTGTCCATTTACGTAGTGCTTTACATTTCAGTTAACCAGTTTTTGTGTATTGCCTGGACTCTTTTTACCAAAAAACAATCCCTTGTTTTTAACCACTTGCCCTCCAAAAGATTTGCCCCCACTCCTGACCAGACCATTTTTTGCGATTACGGTGCTGTTACTTTAGCTGACAATTGTGTTTATCATCCAACGCTGTACAGTAATGAAATTTTGTCCCCCTTTTTTTTTTTTTTTTTTCTTCTCCGCGTTCAGTGGTATTTCATCGTCTCTCCTTCCCTTTTTTTTTTTTTTTTTTTTTTTTTTTTTTTTACTCTATAAACAAAAAAGGCCGATAATTTAAAAAAAATATGCATTTTTGACTTTTTGTTATAAAACATATCCAGTAAAGAAGATTTAAATCGAATTTCATAAATAAAGGCCTACATTTATTCTGCTACATGTGTTGTGTGTGTTGGGTTTTTTTTTTTTTTTTTTTTTAATGGTGGTGATCAGTGACTTATAGTGGGACTGTGGCAGGCATTCTGACACTGGAATGGGGATCTTACTAAATGCCACTGACACCCCAATAACACTAATACAGTGATCAGTGGTAATAAAAAGCACTGACACTGGGCAGGAAGGGGTTAACATCTGGAGCGATCAAACTGTGATTAACTGTGTGCTGTTTAACATCATGTGGTGTTTGTGTTTTACACCCCGGTCACATCAAAGCCAATTTTGAAATCGTGCGACTTAGTGAAGTTGCATGATTTCAAAGTTGGGGGACATGCCGATTTCATTGTGATTTGCAAGACATCTGACTCCGATGTCTATGCAAATCGCAATGAAAGTAGTGCATGTTCTACTGTAGAAATCGGTGCGACTCGGACCAAGTCAGAACCATACCAAAATGACCGCTCTAATAGTGGACAAAAGGGTGCGACTTGGCATACGATTGACAAATCACATGCCAAGTTGCACCCAATGTGACAGAGGTCTTACTTGGGAAACAGGCTGCTGCGTATTTCTCTGCTGTGCAGAATGAATGAATGATGCAGCTGTGTGAGTAAAGCCCTTCACAGCCACACTGATTTAAAACTCTGACACCTGCTACAGGGAAAAGAACCCCTGATTGCTAGATATTCACAGGCAGACGCCATCTTTCACCCCCGGTTCACATATGTGCGGGCTGCATTTTGCGTAGGCATGAGAGGCCATTCATTTGCATGGACTCCCGTGCCCCTTGACATGCAGGGAAGAAGTCCCTGCACTTTTTCTGAAACCGAGCCTGCTCGAGAACCTGGGTTCCCAGTACGGTTGTGTTTTCCAGTGCAGACGGCGTGCCATTAGAACTAAAGGCTCCTGCCCGCAGGTCCGCATTCCTCTGTGCGGGTGGTGTGACTGTACAGACTTTTGTGCGGATCCGTAGCCACACCACCTGCACATATGTGAACCTAGCCTAAGACCATATTCCACCCATATTTAGGGTGTAACATGGTCTTAGAGGTTGAGTTAGCCTTTAAATATCTAAAAACCTTTGGGAACCTGTTCACATCAGATGTGTAGGGTCTGTACTGGGCGTGGTACTATGCAATCTACTGCTCTGCATCAAGCTGTGGCCAATAAGACTTAATGAAATGCCACTTGTGACAATCCACTAAAGCTCTAATGCCATACATGGGTCGAGTTCAGAACAACTTTTCTTTAGAAAATCGAATGTTTATAATTCAATGGTGCCACTATTGATTTTGAAATTTGACCAACCAAGTCCTTCACCTAAAAGAATTTTTGTGGCCAAGAATTTTATTTTTCTTTCCAGGTCACAGCTCATGTTCATTTCTTTTTTTCAATTGCACTACTCTCCCATCGTTTATTAGAAATTTGTTCATTTTTTTTAAAACAAATTCCAACAGGTCGCTCAAAAATCGGCCATTGATGTGGCCCACTAATGGGGCGAAATTTGAACAAAAATTGTTAGAAAAGATTTTCGAAAGAAAATTATTTCGGAATTCGACCCGTGTATGGCTTGCTTAAAGAAACCATGTGATGTCCTGAAAGATTTCTCCCAGTGCACACCAGCAGCTGCTGATGTGAATGAGCTCTTAGCCTTTTGCTGATTCTAAGTTAGTGCATTGTGTTATAACACATCACATGGTTTAAAAGGCAGTGCTGCTGGTGTGTGGTGGGTTTTTTTTTTTTTTTTCCCTTCAGCGCAACACAACTGTATGTGAGCAGGGTGCAGAGTGATGAAGCTCAATAGACATTTTTGTGAATGAGCCCTTAAAGTGATTTAAAACTCTTCCACTTAACCAGTGCAGTGACTGGCCTCAGGTGATACAGATTCCTTTTTACTGTAAGGCAGTACCCCCGCCCACCCAGCTGGGAGAACTCAATAGGTCCGTGGAAGTAATCCCCCCCCCCCTTCCCCCCCATCAACCCATGATTGCAGGAAAGAAAATCACATAATCTATGGCCTGACTAAGAGAAAAAAGGTGGCAGTGGAGGGATCCCCAGCACACAACCTGTGATTGACGGCCTCAGCTCTGTTCTTGTGTGAAGGGGGATGTTTTCCTTCCTTCCGGTCAGCTCTTCTTACTGAATGTAATTTCAGCTCCCGCCCCCTGCTTTCTGAAAACTCAGACAAGCTGCATAAATTCTGCACTATGAGCAGCTTTAGAAGAGAGAAGACATCAGATAAACGGGTACAACTTATGTAGGAGGACTTGTTTCATCTGCGTATCACCTGAGGCCAGTCATTTCACCTTGTATATGGAAGGGTTTACAACCACTTTAACTAGGGGCTCATAACAAAGGTCTGTCGAGTCACATTACTTGAATAGGCCAATGCAAGAGCACATGGAAAACAAATGTTTTCTGTGTACTCTATGCACACCATACAGGTGTGTTGTGCTGCGTAAAAAGCAGCATATCTGCCTTTTAAACCATGCGATGTGTTATAACCAGTGTGCATGCTGTGTAGCCTGTGGGCTGGTGTGAATTAGCCCTAAAACGAGCAGCCCTACAAGGCTGTTCATGCAAAACCATAATAAGTTTTGGTTTGTATTAAATTGTAATTATCAGCAATAATAAGTAATAATCATCAGCCAACCATTTATGGCTGGCTTTAGTATGAGAAACTTGTCAGAAGTGATTCATGCTGATAGGAGAGGAACGAGGAAGCAGACAGACATGACATAGTCCTCTGGATTGAAACACGTACACACTATATAGAAGGATATGTTTTGTTCATATTTCATGACTGAAAACCCTTTAAAGCCCAACTCTAGGCATAATGAGGGGAAAAAAAACACCTTGCTGTTGGTTGTGCCCCCCCCCCTTCCCTCTACACTGCAGGGGTTAAAAGCTTATTAAACTTGGCTATAGATGGTTTCAGGCTGTGGACTGAAAGATTCCCCCATCAATGCAATTTTGCTTTGACAGGAGTTTGTCAGCATTGGTCTTCGCCAAAAGTTGAATAAATGATCGTCTTTTGTTAAGCAGGGGCCACCACACTGATCAAAATTTGCCTTGTTCCTTTTGCGTTGGCGCAACTTCAGCTTTAAGCTGCCCATAGCTGGTCAGACTTTCCAATGAAAATTCTCAGGAAAAGCAGGTGCTAAGAAAGCTTGTTTGTGTGTGTTGTGTGTGTGTTTTTTGTTTTGTTTTGTGGTTTTTTTTTTTTTTTTTTTTTTTTTTTTTTTGGGGGGGGGGGGGGGTTGATTTAGTGGGATCAGATTGACATTTTTGTTTTGAACCGCAGTGAAGAGAAAACTTGAGGGGCTGGATGGAACTTATTTTCTCGAATGAATTTCAAACCGTGTATGTGGTTTTCTTTCGGTAAAATTAATTTATTCCAAAATCAGATGTTAAAAGCAAACAATCTTTTGGAGGACATTCAGATGTTCTGAGAATGTTCATAGAAATTTTCCTAAGGCTTTTTGTTTGAAATTCTTTAAATCTATGGCCACCTTAAGGCCCCTTTCACACAAGTGCACCCATCGGGTCTGCGTGTCCATTTTTCAGGCGGACCCAATTGGACCCCCCAGTCTTCACTATGGAGCAGCGGGTGTAAACACTCATGTGTCCGTTTACCCGCCTTTATATCAACTGATCCTGTCCGCTAAAAGCAGACGGCTGGGGATCCGCTCCTCATCTGTCTGACGGAACAGATCAGATGTGTAAGGCCTGGTTCACACCAATGCAGTTTGCTTTTGATCCGTTTTACAATGCTTTTGCATTTCACTTTGCGTTTACATGTTTTTGCCAAGGTTTTTATGCAGTTTGCTTTTTTCAGCTGTTATTTATTGTTAAAAGGGAAATTTTTTTGGTTATTGGGCAGAAAAAAAAATGCAAAATTCGACAATAAGACACTACATGTATTTCAGCAGCGTCTACATTGAACGCCATTAAATTTGCTACTCCATTGTAGCAAATGCGCCGCTTTTTGCATTTAAAAGTCCTTGGCCCTACCCATAAGAAATCATGTTAAATGGACTGTAGTGCGTTTTTTGTAAAAAGCATTGATGTGAACCAGAAAATGGACAGGCAGTCTGTTGTGATCCAACCACCCATAGAGGAGCACTAGCTGTATCTGTATTCGCTCCGCATAAGTGGAGAGGACATGGACTAGCCATTTGCCTTCTCAGCGGGCATCCGTGAACAGATCCCCCTGCTAATCAAACGGACTGCAACGGTGCCTACCCCATCTGGAAGGGGCCTCAAGGATAAGTTAAAGATAAATATACATTTTTTACCTGCAGAAAAATTTGCATTTATCTTATCTATGGTACCTGCAGAGCACTGCACCCTTGATCAGCTGATGGCCAAGATAGCTGTTTGGCCGTACCTCTGATACAGGCAGTTACTTGAGAGCAGGAAGATCAATGAACTGCAAGAGTGCTCACCAGCGGCCTCATAGTTCATTGAGAACTATAAGCCATCAACTGCAATGACGCATGTAGTCTATGCATTCACAGGAAATTGAGCCCCACACAGCTATGCTGTGTCAAATTGTGACAGTGGTTGAGAGGAGAATATCCCCTGCCTGCTGTCACAGGGTGGGGGGGTGCATGTTGAACATGTTGCACCCTAAATATGGTTGTAACATGTTCAGAAGGGTGATCTTGGCCTTTTAAGTCTATGCTGTATTGCTTAACTGACTCTCTGCTCCACCAGGTTCCCTTGTTCAATGCATCTGTAGGCTGCTCCCTGTAGTGGTTGCACTCCTGCCTCCATTGCACACAATACAGGCTTAAAAACCACACATTGTACATTATGTCAAGGCTATGCCCATAAACCAGAGCTTCGGTGTGCAGCGTGGAGTTGGGGAAGTAATGCAGCCTCTCATTCTTCCCCTTGGACATATAGCCAGGTCCATAAATATTGGGACATCAACACAATTCTAACATTTTTGCCTCTATACACCACCACAATGGATTTGAAATGAAACGAACAAGATGTGCTTTAACTGCAGACCGTCCGCTTTAATTTTAGGGTATTTACATCCAAATCAGGTGAACGGTGTAGGAATTACAACAGTTTGCATATGTGCCTCCCACTTGTTAAGGGACCAAAAGTAATGGGACAATTGGCTTCTCAGCTGTTCCATGGCTAGGTGTGTGTTATTCCTTCATTATCTCAATTACAATGAGCAGATAAAAGGTCTAGAGTTCATTTCAAGTGTGCTATTTGCATTTGGAATCTGTTGCTGTCAACTCTCAAGATGAGATTCAAAGAGCTGTCACTATCAGTAAAGCAAGCCATCATTTGGCTGAAAAAAAAAAAAAAAAACATCAGAGAGATAGCAAAAACATTAGGCGTGGCCAAACAACTGTTTGGAACATGCTTAAAAAGAAGGAACGCACCGGTGAGTTCAGCAACACCAAAAGACCCGGAAGACCACAGAAAACTGTGGTGGATGACTGAAGAATTCTTTCCCTGGTGAAGAGAAAACACCCTTCACAACAGTTGGCCAGATCAAGAACACTCTCCAGGAGGTAGGTGTATGTGTGTCAAAGTCAACAATCAAGAGAAGACTTCACCAGAGTGAATACAGAGGGTTCACCACAAGATGTAAATCATTGGTGAGCCTCAAAAACCGGAAGGCCAGATTAGAGTTTGCCAAACGACATCTAAAAAAGCCTTCACAGTTCTGGAACAACATCCTATGGACAGATGAGACCGAGATCAACTTGTACCAGAGTGATGGGAAGAGAAGAGTATGGAGAAGGAAAGGAACTGCTCATGATCCTAGGCATACCAACTCATCAGTGAAGCGTGGTGGTGGTAGTGTCATGGCGTGGGCATGTATGGCTGCCAATGGAACTGCTTCTCTTTTATTTATTGATGATGTGACTGCTGACAAAAGCAGCAAGATGAATTCTGAAGTGTTTTGGGCAATATTATCTGCTCATATTCAGCCAAATGCTTCAGAACTCATTGGACGCCGCTTCACAGTGCAGATGGACAATGACCCAAAGCATACTGCAAAAGCAACCAAAGAGTTTTTTTAAGGGAAAGAAGTGGAATGTTATGCAATGGCCAAGTCAATCACCAGACCTGAATCTGATTTGACCATGCATTTCACTTGCTGAAGACAAAACTGAAGGGAAAATGCCCCAAAAACAAGCAGGAACTGAAGACAGTTGCAGTAGAGGCCTGGCAGAGCATCACCAGAGATGAAACCCAGCGTCTGGTGATGTCTATGCGTTCCAGACTTCAGGCTGTAATTGACTGAAAAGGATTTGCAACCAAGTATTAAAAAGTGAAAGTTTGATTTATGATTATTATTCTGTCCCATTCCTTTTGGTCCTTTAACAAGTGGGAGGCACATATGCAAACTGTTGTAATTCCTACACCGTTCACCTGATTTGGATGTAAATACCCTCAAATTAAAGCTGACAGTCTGCAGTTAAAGCACATCTTGTTAATTTCATTTCAAATCCATTGTGGTGGTGTATAGAGCAAAAAATGTTATTGTGTCAATGTCCCAATATTTATGGACCTGACTGTAAAAAGCATTTTGCGCTTGCAATTAATTATTAGGGTTAATGTGACTCTGTGCTTTTATTTTCAAAGTAATTTGTTCCAGGAGCTAATACCACAAGATGTATGCGGCTTATGTTTAAGCATCCTCTGTACCCCCCCCCCCCCCCCCCGATATAGTTTTACATTGTTTTATAGATACACATGCTGAGTGTTAGTAGATCTATGTGAGGTTTACCTATAGTGTATTCTGTTTTGCAGGCAGGACCATTGAGCAAAGTGACCATTGCTAGAGATAAAGACGGCAACACCAAGTCTTTTGGGTTTGTCTGCTTCCAGCATACAGAATCTGTGCCATATGCTGTAGCATTACTGAATGGCATTCGCCTGTATGGCCGGCCCATTAAACTTCAGTATCGAATAGGTGAGTTTACCGAATAGCCTGTCAGTCTATGGTAGGCTGCGGCTGAATGCCGTAGCAAGTGGTACCCGTGTTTAGGGCCCTGTGCATGCATGGAAAGGCTGGAAAACAGATGGCCAAGAATAAAATAAGACTTTGCATTTACATTGCTTTGAACATACCCATTTTTTGACATGTCATTGTAGGATGGGTATCCGCTTCTATATTGACCGTTTCTTTCATATATGCTGACCCCCAAAAAAACGTAGTTTATTATTCAGTGCAGCAAATACATATTTTTTTCTTCGCATTGGTGCCTACAGCTGCACCCCATACAAGTTGGCTGGTGCCTCCATGGTTGACCAGTTTTTCCTGAACGTATGTGGAGAAGCTATATAATGATTTTGTTAGGAATATAAAACCTTAGAGGGTCTACAGATGTAGAACTGGGTAAAATTTTTATACACTGTTCAGCAGGCTGGGCAAAAATGTCAACAGATTTCTCCATCCACACAAATGAGATGAATGGAGGAATGACATCTGCTGCTGTCAGAATACATATCCCTTGGACAGAAGACTATTAAAAGATCAACTTCTGTCGAACACCACAGGGAGTGAGAAGAAATCAATTACAAAATGAGGGAAAGTCCAGGCCATACAGCTGTCACCAAAATGTGTCCCTATTGGAAGATTTCCCCTCTATTCATATTCTCTGCCAAAAAATATTGGATTTCCTATCACTTATCTAGTGACAATCAATATAGCGGGGGACACAGACAGCAGCTAAATCTGACGAGTTCTAATCCTTTCCAAAATGAAAAGAGTTGAGATAGATATATACACACTGTATTGCCGACTTGGGACGACTGCCTTTAGACACATCGCAGTCTTTGTAGAGTTCAATATTGAGTTGGCTCACCCTTTGTAGCTATAACAGCTTCAACTCTTTTGTAAAAGCTGTCCACAAGGTTTAGGAGCGTCTATGGGAATGTTTGACCATCCTTCCAAAAGCGCATTTGTGAGGTCAGGTACTGATGTCGACCGAGAAGGCCTGGCTCATCGCCTCTGCGCTAATTCATCCCAAAGGTGTTCTGTTGGGTTGAGGTCAGAACTATGTGCAAGCCAGTCAAGTTCTTCTACCCCAAACTCACTCATCCATGTCTTTATGGACCTTGCTTTGTGCACTGGTTCGCAGTCATGATGTAACAGGAAGGGGCCATCCCCAAACTGTTCCCAGAAAGTTGGGAGCATGAAATTGTCCAAAAAGTCTTGGTATGCTGACTCCTCAAGAGTTCCCTTCACTGGAACTAAGGCGCCAAGCCTAACCCCTGAAAAACAACCCCACACCATCCTCCCACCAAACCCAGACATGTCCATCGTATTGCCAGACAGAATCGTGATCTGTCATTCCAGAGAACACTTCTCCACTGCTCTAGAGTCCAGTGGCGGCATGCTTTACACCACTGCATCTGATGCTTTGTATTGTACTCGGTGATGTAAGGCTTGTGTACAGCTGCTCTGCCATGGAAACCCATTCCATGAAGCTCTCTATGCACTGTTGTGCCAATCTGAAGGACACAGAAAAATTGGAGGTCTTTAGCTGTTGACTCTGCAGACAGTTGGCAACCTCTGCTCACTGTGCACTTCAGCATGCCCGGACCCTGCTCTATCATTTTTACATGGCTGAGTTGTTCCCAGTTGCTTCCACTTTGTTATAATACCACTAGCAGTTGACCATGGAACTTTAGTAGTAGTAAGGAAATTTCACGGATGGACTTATTGCACAGGTGGCAACCTATCACGGTACCACATGTGAATTCACTGAGCTCCTGAGAGTGACCCATTATTTTACAAATGTTTGTAGAAGCGGTCTGCATGCCTAGGTGCTTGATTGTATACACCTGTGGCCAAGGATATGATTGGAACACCTGAGTCCAATGCTTTGGAGAGGTATCCCAATACCTTTGGCAATATAGTGTGCGTCTTCCTCTCTCGCTTGCTCTCATCTTGCATTTAAATAGAAACCACTGTGCTTGACAAGGATGCCCCTCAACATGAGCCCTAAAATATGCCTGCGTTGACTTATAATGCTGTAATCCAGTGTTTCTCAACTCCAGTCCTCATGGACCCCCAACAGGTCTTGTTTTCAGGATTTCCATTATTTTGCACAGGTGATTTGATCAGTTTCACTGCCTTAGTAATTACCACAGCTGTTTCATCTGAGGGAAATCCTGAAAACATGACCTGTTGGAGGTCCATGAGGACTGGAGTTGAGAAACACTGCTGTAATCCAACATTTTTTTTCACAAGAGAAAAGAGCACCACAAAGTGCTAGGACACTTGCCAACTTCAGCTGTTTGATGCCTTTGCAAAGCATTAGACTGTCATGTGTAGGGCTTGACATCTGCTAATTTTAAAGGGCTATCAGAAAGATAAAAAATTTGTACAGGCATTCTGGGGTACGCTAAATGAATGGACCAGTATAGTGAAACTAAAGGGATTCCCTGACACCTTATGGCACTTTCTATAATTGTTGGTTGATGCCATTTTTGTGTCAGGACAGGTTCACTTTAAGATGACCTTGTACATATACATCTCCATCCTATAAATGGTTATAAATTCCCTTTATTTTCTTTAAACACAGGGAGTTCCCACTCTTCAGAATCGGACAGCGTTTTCCAGGGACCTGAAAACAGCTTTGTCAGAAGCCCTGTAGACTATGGGTGAGAGAATCTGTGTGGTTTTGTAAACTGCTTGGAGAAATTTTGGTATATTGGTTATGCATTGTAGTCCTTTTTTTTTTTTTTTTTTTTTTTTTTTTTTTTTTTCTTTTTTGTAATTATGGTTGCTTTAGTACATGAGAGAAAAAAAAAGTTCTCCCACTCTAATTGTCAGTTAATCCACAATGGGGAAACGCTGGTGCTCAGAATAAGTTCCCGTAACTTCAGGCATTAACCAAACCGTACTTAAAGTCCTGCACACAGTGATGAGTTCCTATATTTTGTAATACAAAAAAAGGCACCATAACGGGTTGCGAATGTGTTTCAGCTGGATATGGCCTTAATCATAGGTGACTCCTATAGACGAACATGCACTTATATTAATACATTGCTCAAAAAAATTAAAGGAACACTTTTAAAATACATCAGATCTCAATGGGGAAAAATATCATGCTGGATATCTATACTGATATGGACAGGGTAATGTGTTAGGAATTGTAAGGATGCCCCATCGTTTGAATTCAGTCCTCTGTAGGTTGATTTTTATTTCCATCAAAGACACCCCCCCAAAAGTCAAAGTGAAAAAATGATGCAGCAGGCTAGTCGTTTTTGCTGAAATTTCATTGCAGCAACTCAATATGGTACTCAATAGTTTGTGTGGGCCGCATGAGCTTGTATGCATGCCTGACAGCATCGGGGCATGCTCCTAATGAGGCGATGGACGATGTCCTGGAGCATTTCCTCCCAGATCTGGACCAGGGCAACACTGAGCTCCTGGACAGTCTGAGGTGCAACCTGCTGGTGTCGGATGGACCAAAACATGATACCAGAGGTGTTCTATTGGATTTAGGTCAGGCAAGCGTGGGGGCCATTCAATGGTATCAATTCCTTCATCCTCCAGGAACTGCCTGCATACTCTCACCACATGAGGCCGGGCATTGTCGTGCAGCAGGAGGAACCCATAACCCACTGCACGGTGTGACAATGGGTACAAGGCTTTCATCCTGATACCTAATGGCAGTCAGGGTGCCATTGTCTAGCCTGTAGAGGTCTGTGCGTCCCTCCATGGATATGCCTCCCCAGACCATCTCTGACCCACCACCAAAATGGTCATGCTGAACAATGTTACAGGCAGCATAACGTTCTCCACAGCTTCTCTAGACCCTTTCACGTCTGTCACATGTGCTCAGGGTGAACCTGTTCTCATCTGTGAAAAGAGCAGGGCGCCAGTGGTGGACTTGCCAATTTTGGTGTTCAACGGCAAAGGCCAATTGAGCTCTATGGTGCTGGGCAGTGAGCACGGGGCCCACTGGGGGATGTTGGGCCTTCAGGCCATCCTCATGAAGTCTGTTTCTGATTGTTTGGTCAGACGTTAACAACAGTGTCCTGCTGGAGGTAATTTTGTAGGGCTCTGGCAGTGCTCATCCTGTCCCTCCTTGCAAAAACGAGCAGATACTGGTCCTGCTGATGGGTTACAGCCCTGTCCAGCTCTCCTAGAGAAACTACATGTCTCCTGGAATCTCCTCCATGCTCTTGAGACTGTGCTGGGTGACAGAGCAAACCTTCTGGCAATGACATGTATGGATGTGCCATCCTGGAGGAGTTGGACTGCCTGTGCAACCTCTGTAGGGTCCAGGTATCCCCTCATGCTACCAGTAGTGACACTGACCCTATCACTAATGCAAAACTAGTGAAAAACTGTCAAAGAAGATGAGTAGGGGAAAACAATGTCAGTGGCCTCCATCTGTAAAACCATTCCTGTTTTGGGGGTCGTCTCATTGTTGCCCATCTAGTTCACTTGTGAATTTCATTAACACCAAAGCAGCTGAAACTGATTAACAATCCCCTCTGTTACTTAACTGACCACATCAATATCCTAGGAGTTTAATTGACTTCATGCTATACTCTGATTAAAAAATGTTTCTTGAATTTTTTTTGAGCAGTATATATCTGTTTAATTACAACAAGATTTTTTTTTTTGTTATTTATGCCCCCTCTCAGGAGGGCGGGAAGTAAAAGATACATAAGTAAAGTTTGTATATAGGGGTCATCTATAATTAAGGCCATACCCAGCTGAAACACGTTAGCACCCCTTATGATGTAACCTCTTTTTTGTATTCAGTAAATATTGGAGATCCGTTATGTGTGGGAGTTCATGTACTGTTTAGGTAGATTTAAAAAAAAAAATTTCTGGTTAAATACACTCCTAAAAGCTTTTTTTGTTGCGTTTGACACATTCCGAAAAAAAAAAACTGTGCTGATCCTGACTGAAATCCAGTGAATTTCCCATGCTTTGTGCCTCTGCTGACTCTTATTAGATAGCATTGTTCCCCACTATATCTATGGACAGAAGACACGCCCCCCCCCTTCATATTTTGTAAAGATGAGGAGAGGGTGTTTTGTAGTCCATCTACAGCCTATTCTTGGAGTGTTCATTGATGGAAGATGCAGTACAAATTCTGTGAACGAGAAGGAGGGCAAGCTTAGTTGGCACTCTTGACGACTTCATATGACATGTCACTTGGCTCCTATTCACCCCTATAGCACCAGAAGATTACGGCTGTGGGGGTGGGAGGGGGATTGGTACAGATGATGTCAACTAAAACTGCTGCCAGCTGCACAAGGATACTTCCCATTGACTGTAAGCTCTGTCTGTGCAATTGCCTTAAATTTTTTTCAATAAACTTGGGTTTCAATTTTCTAAAGACTCCAAAAACAAGACGTTTCTCAAAGCAGGCTTATTGTAGTTGGACTGTATTACATGTTCTGTTTTAGAAATTAGTGGTTATAAACCCTTACATATACCCAGTGCATTAACTGGCCGCAGGTGATAAACAGATTAAACAAATTCTCCTACAGGAGTTGCACTTGTTTATATGCAGTTGCCTGTCCCCTACATCCATTCAAAGTGCAGAATTTACAAAGGATCTCACAGCTCTGAAAATCAGGGGGCGGGGAGCACACAGGAACAGAGCTGAGGATGTCAATCACAGGTTGTGTGCTGGAGTTCCCTCCCCTGTCCCTTTTTTTTTTTTTTTTTTTTTTTTTTTTCTCCGAGTCAGGTAGGCCAGTCAAAAGTGACTCATGCAGATAGCAGAGGAAAAAAAGCAGCAGACAGGAATGACACTTAGTGCTCTGAATTGAGACATGTACACACTGTAGAGGGATGTGCTTTTTCATATTTAATGTCTGAAGTCTACAACCACTTTAGTATACATGAGTTATAAGGTATAGGTGGATCAGAAGAAACATGTCTTCTATATTCAATTTTTTTTTTTTGTAAATTCGCTTCCATGCAAATTAGTTTCCAATGCTATTACATTCTCACTGTTTTTCCTGTGCAGAATGCCTGTATCTTATCCTGCACCTCCTGCTAGCAGCAGCTTCTTCTCTCAGGCATATGCCTATTTTCAAGGAATGGTAAGCTACTAATTGCATTTTTACTAAATGTTTTAGCCTATGAAACACCTGAATGTACCACATGCTGAATTATCCATCATAAAAATGTATCTAAGGAGAAAAAAAACTCTCCAAATCAAGAAAAAGCAGCCAAAAAAATACAATTTTTTTATATATTTTTTTTTTTTTTGGGGGGGTCCTTCTGCACTACTGGCCAATACTGTACCCCCAAGACCCAAGGGTTAAGTGGTGGCTTGAACAACATTTTTTTTTTTTATTTTCTTGTATTGTAGCAAATGCTTTGATGAAATCCAGATAAGCTATGTCTACAGCACTGCCCTGGTTGAAAAAAAGTTTGCTTTAGTAAAAAAAAATATAATGAAATCAGATTAGAATGACCTTTTATCTGCTTTTAGTAAAGCCATTATGCTTGCAATTAGTATAGACCCCCCCTTTTAGTACATATCTCCGTTTCAGATGCAATGGACGCTCAGTGAGGGAAACCCTCCACTTAGCTGTGTCACGTGACCAAAGCAGAGTATCGGTACTTGGTGTGGACCACACCCCTCTAATGCAGGCCATAGATTATGTGATTTTCTGCTGGCGGAGAGCTGTCCCTGCTGGGAGAGCACAGTGATTACCACTAGCGGCTGTAGCCACTGGCAGTGATCACTTACTAAAAATCCGACATGCTGGTTGTACATAAGTGGATCCAGTCAGCCTGTCCATTGATGGATCAACTCTTGGACAGTCCCTGCTGAATCGGCCGTGATTCAATTTTAATCTCTGGCCAGCTTAGATATGCATACTGCTATTAGCTACTCCTGACTCTTAACTTCATATACTGTACATGAGATGTATAGCCCATAGAGAAAGGAGCCTACCCTTCTGCTTTCTGCTAGGCATCTATACTCTTTATGGTAGGGCTGATATCCCAGTGGTTTGCTGTGTCCCCCAGTAAGCTATCAAGAGGAGTCTGTGTTGTGGGGGTTTGGTTTTTTTTGTGTAGTGTTTTTTTGTTTTGTTTGTTTTTTTTCCCTCAATACTTGTTTACTTTCAGCTTTTAAAAGATGATAGGTGATCTAAAAGCAGTAGTATTCATTCCTTGAACACCTAAAACCAATGGACATTTTTTGGGAGATGGACCATGTATGTGTATCTTTTGTCATAGGGTAAAATTAAACTTTTTAGAGCATGGAGCCATCAAACAGTTAAGCCTAGCATAATCTGGTTAATTTATTTATTTATTTATTTTTTGTTTCCCACCTCCTATAGATGAACCAGTTCTTCACTGTACAGAATCCTGCATGTGGATGGACAGCTCCAGAGCAGCAAGGCTATGAACAGTTCTTCCCGTGGAACGAACAGACTTCAATGAATCCATATCCTGGACCTCAGCCAAGCTGCAGTTTTGGACCAAGTTCTTCCAGCTGGGATTCAGAGATGGCTTGGGACTGTAGAACTGGCCCATGTGAAACAGGCCCTCAGAATCCTAAGAGAACTGTGGAGAACAGAGACAGCGATAGCTCTGAAACAAGTCTTCGGGAACTCAACCCTAGTAAAAGACAAAGAAAGCTCAGAGCGAAGAAAAAAAAGAACTTGGTGTATTGCACTAAATAGTTCATGGGTCACTGGCATTAGTTAACATGACCCTGGTGAATCTATTATGCTTTGAGGGCAACAAAGTTGTGTGTACTTATTGTACACATGAACTTTCTGAACACCCAGCCCATCAACTAGATCTTCATTTTCTGCTGCTGTATACAATGTGTAAAGATAGATGAGTCTATCACACGCATCAAGGCTTTGACTGGGTAATGTTGGGCCATCTGCCTGAATTAAACAAATTATGAATTGCTATCATAACAAAACCTAACATTTATCAGAGTGTATTGGCCAAATGCTATTGTTACCTGTATAAATAACTTTATAGCCAGGCAGTGCTGGGGCCCCAGGTGCTTCCGTCCCCCCAGAGTATGCATTGCCTGCTATAGGTATAGTTAGATCTTTCACATATGTGTTGCTACTCTGCAATAAATGTAATTCTTCCAGCACTAAGCACAATATTGTGAGTACTGACATCCCTGGACACCAGTGAGAGCACTTTATTTATTTATTTATTTTTTTCTGTAGCTGATGTTTGAATACAGATGCTGCTAGTGGGCCTTGGCAGAAACTTGTGTATATGTATAGGCCTTCCTTGGATAACTATTATTGTGTTTACATTTCCAAAGATTCACTTAAGTTAATAAATTTAAATATGCTTAACTTTGGTGTTTTGACTAAAAGCAAAACTGCTAACTAAACAGCTGAAATGGGTATACCTGACCTGTTCTGTGAAAGCATGTCCTGTTCAGTCACTGTTGTGTCTTCAACAGCGCACAGCCAGGAAGGTGACATCACTATGTCCTGTTCCAGCTTTAAAATATCCAGTGTTAGTGGTTTGCTCGTTGAATGACTATGCAGCAGATTCAGTGTCCATTGAGTAGGCAGGTGACTCTCGGACTCCACCTTGCCTCAGATTAGTAAGGTTTGTTCTCGTGTAAACCTGCACTCCCCGGCCACTTTATTAGGTACACCTGTTCAATTGCTCGGTACCACAAATTGCTAATAAGCCATTCACATGGCAGCAACTCAATGCATTTAGAAATGGTGAAGCTGACTTGCTGAAGTTGAAACCAAACCTCAGAATGGGGAAGAAGGGGGATTTCATTGACTTTGAACGTGGCAAAACTGCTGATCTACTGAGATTCACGCATAACCATCTCCTAGGGTTTACGGTTTGAAAAAGAGAAAATATCTAGTGAGCGGCAGTTGTATGACAAAAATGCCTTGTTGGGATCAGAGGAAAATGGGCAGACTGGTTGCTGCAACATTCAGATGGTAAGGTCAGAATTTGGCATAATATGAAAGCATGGATCCATCCTGCCTTGTATCCATGGTTCAGGCAGATGGTGTCGGGGTTATTTTCTTTGCACTAGCAAGGTAAAACCTAATAAAGTGGGCGGTGAGTGTAATATTACAAAGAATAGGTGGCAATGAGGACTACTGGTGTTTAGCACTTTGATTCCAAAGCCCTCAGTCATCTTTTTTTTTTTTCTTCTCCCTGCTTTTCTTTCTCCATTCTTCTTTTTTATTTTCTTTAATGATTTCTAGTTCTTCCTCGGTTAAGTTTAAACCAAAAAGAGTTCCAAAAAATTTTGCAAACCTAAATCCTATTTGTGCCATACATATTGGCATGCAATGCAGGCTAGAATAAGAGCAGTAATTCCAGGGCCATCATTCACTGCTCACTCTATTGATGGTTCAGGGAGCATCTGCTATATATAGCATCTATTTACTCAACAAAACCTGATCTTTTATATTTTACCAAAAAACTGAATATATAAATGCGATCGTCATGTGACATGAGAAATTGCAACTGCCACCATCTATTTTTTTTTTTTTTTTTTTTCTCTCTACATGGTCTCTGATAGTGTTTAAGCAATAATCAGGCGTAAAATGTACATCTGGTCATAGATGAGGTGTGTTGTGGATATATTTTTTTTTTTCTTGTTCAACCAGCGGGTGAATTCACCCATCCACACATACTCCCCACTATGACATTGTATTCCGACAGTGAGGAGACTCCCCACTGTAGCCTGCAGTGCTGATTAAGAGGACATTTTTTCAGCAGGGCGGTTGTACAGGAATTGATCTAATTGCCTTCTGTACAACTACTGGGGTGGATTTTTATTAAAACTGGTGCAGCTGCGCATGTTATAACATCAGCTTCTAACTTCAGCTTGTTTAAGCTTTGGCAATATATTGGGTTCTATGCTCAGTCGTCCTTTAATGCAAAGTCTGCAACATTTCACCTGTTCTTCTCCCAGTTGTCAAGCTGTGCCTGAATGGTGAAGGTGTTTTATGTGGTCACACAGCCATGTTACGAAGTATGCATGTAATCAATCGGGGACTATTCATGAATATTTAAAACATATTTATTAATGAAAATATTTACTAGCCCATTTTTTAAGATACAATTTTTAAAACTGCTTTTGCTGTAATCCTGTTACCTACATTAATTTTTTTTTCTAATGCTAGATGTCCTCAGCCTGATGTCCAGCATCCTTAAACGCTTTCTCTGGGGCGTAGCTTGGCTATGGCGACGTGAGGAAGCTCCAAGGCTGATCTCTGTGTTGATGTTGGGGGTATTTCAACAATCTGCCTAATCTGCTAGCCTCATTCATCCATACTGACCGGGGTAAACCCAAGGACACACCCGGCACCCCCAATTGCCACTATCAGGGGAGACTCTAATACTGCCACAAGTTCCATCATGGCTTCGTCCTGCCACCCTCAGGCCGTGGCCTCACTAGAAGCACTGTCTGCTCAAATTTCAACAATTGAGGATTCACAATCTCCTATTCATACCCCTGTGATGCCGCTGATGGACGAATCCACCAGACCCGGTAGTCCCACGAAGCTCTCTCCTGTGGATGACCAGGATATCAGCCAGGTCCTACAAGTTCTGCCCACAAAAGGGAGACCTTCAGCAGATGCTCAAACAGCTCACAGGACCTTATGAGGTGAGATTGCAGACCTCAGCATCTAAACAGAGGCTGACGACTTTGGAGGCCCAACAGGAGAGCACTGTCTCCCGTATCTCTACTTTGAAAAACCTATTACACTGCCAACACCAGCGCCTGCTTGCCCTGCAGCTGCAGCAGGAAGATACAGAGAACAGGAGTAGACAGAATGTCAGGCTCAGGGGCATTCCAGAGGCCACTGCTGGAGCAGACTTGAGAACTACGGTAACGAGCATCTTTAATATTCTCTTATGCAACCCCACTGATACTCATATCGAGCTAGATCGAGTGCACAGAGTTCCAGCATCCGTTCACCCCTTGCAGATGGAGCCTAGAGATGTGCTATGCAGGGTGCACTACTATAAAATTAAAGAGGACATTTTACGAGCAGCGTGGCGCAGAGGTCCTATAGATTTTGATGGAGCCACTGCAACTCTATCCAGACTTGTGCCCCAAAGCACTCTACCGCCAATGCCAGATGCGACCTCTGCTTGACCATCTGCAAGCTCAAGGAGCAACTCACAGATGGGGCTTTCTTCTATCCCTCATGGTCAAAAAAGACAATTGTGACTCAGTTCCAATGCCCTACTGAGCAGCAGCTATTTCAATTCCTGAATTGTGAAGCAGTGCCAGTCTCCGACTGGCTGGACTTCTCGGAGCTTCGTGAGGCCTTCTCAGGATTTTGCCCGGGGCCACAAAGACAAACGCCCATGCTGTTCTTCAGTTAATCAGGATCCAGCAGGAAGACTGACCTCTGAGACTATACCTAACATGCACATCGGACTTTGGACAAGTGAATGGTTTCATCTACTCTCTTCTCCCCTGCACTCCTACCACTATACTGTTCATACCAACAAAGCCAACAAGGTAATGGTCTTCCCTGTTAGCTGTTAAAAACTCTGGCATATGTTACTGTGTACCCCATGAGCTTTACGACTGTCGGCTCAACCACCTTGGCTACTCACCAGTAGTGCCAGAGCTGCAGCAGGGGCAGATATTTGCATACGAACTTTTTAGCATTCATTATCTGTTCTAGTTTTTCACTCTGGAGTTTATATTTCACACGTTAATTGGAGTGTACCCCCCCCCCTCCTTTAGCTCAGTTGAAATAGCTAGCTGTGTGCTGCTTTGCACCCTTTGTGTGTGATGTTCTGGGGGCGTCAGATGGGGTTATTTCAGGAATTTTACTGTGCTCCTTGATGATTTATCTGACTGTTTATGACTTATAAGATAGGCAACCATATGGCTATTAGGCCCACTACATTTGGGTACTCTGGATCTATTCTATTTTGAACACTGAGGTACTGGTTTGTTAATGTACTAGAGTCCAAGTGGTGCAGGGGATGGCTGCGCAGGTTGCCGCCTATACCCGGTTCTCATTCACCTTGACCCTCCTTTTATTCATGAGAGGGATACTGGTCTCTGACACAAAACATATTCGCTTGTGCGATCATAGTCTGGGGACGGCGTCTGCTTGTGGCCTGAGAGTCTCTCGTTCTCTGCCTCTTTCAATCTTTCAACCCACCCCCCCAATCATCCTCCCTATCCTCTTCTTCTCCCCACCCTTTTTCCCTTCACCTTCTTGTCCCTTTCCTTCCTAGGTACTTCCCTCTACATTTCAATAAGGGGTGTTTCTTAACCCCAGGTTCTACTTTGCAGGTAAGGCCTGTGCGTTGTCCCTGGCCTGCTTCCCTTCCTCTCATCTGTGCCTTCTTAACTCCCTCTTCTACCCCCTACACGGTTTGGCTCCTTACATTCTACTCCTCTAACCACAAAACATATACCAGGATTGACTATATATTTATTGCTTTCCTCTTCCACCATTAGGTTCTTTTACAATATTGGACCACGTCCCTACCCACTGTTCTCTGGAACTGGGTGAGCGAGTCTACCGGATCTGGCGCTGTAAGCTAAATAAAGCTCTCCTGCAGGACCCATCTTATAAGGGGTGGATTACGTAGGAACTGGACTTTTTCTTTACGACCAACACCATTGATGAAGTCTTCCTGTGCTGGCTCTGGGAGGCTCACAAATGTGTTCTTCAAGGAGTCC